GTTTGTACCAAGCATGCGTTTTTTTTTTTTATTCTGCACTGAGCCTTTTTCACATTTGCTTAATTTACTTATTTTATATTTAATAGCCTACACTGACATACTTTGTTAAAAAACAGCTTTAAGTTATACGATGGCATGCATTAAACATGGCTTCCACTATAACCATCGTGAATCATGCAAGTTGCATAGATTAAACGATATAACATTGGCAATGCTTATCATCTGAAATAGCTTTTTAGTGTTATACAGAAAAGAAAACAGCAATTTTCACTCAGTATCTGTTTCATGGAGTGCCCTTCCAGGATGCGATGCAAATGTGATCACGCAAAATTTTATATTTATAATAAAACTAACAAAATTTACTGATGAACAAACATTAAGTAATCTACACAAGTAATCTAAACTAGATAAAGTCCCTAATGTATTATGGAGTTCATTCCCAAAGATAAATTCTGTGATAAAGTAATAAAAATAATCATTAGGAACATTTATGTGGTTTGACGGTTAGTTAAGTTTGAGGATCGGTGCACCTGAGCACTACTAGAGGTCCACAATGATGAGTGGATAGTTCTGGCTGAATGATACAGAGATTTTCTGTTTTCCTCCTGTACCCCTTAAGTCCAGTCAGTGCTACAGTACTTTGAAACCTGTCTGTAGAGCAGCCTGCTGTAATCTTTTTTCACAAGAAACTTCTGAATGTTTCAAAACTTGGTATTAACTGTAGTGATTATGGTGCCTGGAATGCACCCCTCCCCCCTCCACTTGAAAGAGCCAACTGTTTTGTTAGCTCCCCACCTTCACTATCATGGCTGGAGAAATTTGAGTTCCTAAGCACATCTGTTAGCTCTCCTGAGCTAAACTCTGCAATGATGTGTTTGATAACATACAAATTATAATAATTGGCTGAGAGCATCAGCCAAGGAGCTAAGAATATCCCTAATGGTCCCATGGGAGGAGTGTCAGAATTCTTGTTAGTGCAGTGGGGGAGCAAACAGTGTGTGCTTACAATAGTAAACCCTCCATTCAGTCTGATGCTTATTGAAACAGTTAATGGTAACTTGGCTGGTGCCAGGACTATGAAGAAGTGCCTAAAATGGTTTCCATCCACTGGAGATGCAGACCACACTCTCCTTTGCACCAGAGCCACCGCTGTCCCACCTGTTCTGTATTATGGCAAGTTTGGCCCTGTTCAAGACTCAGTTTGGTTTGTTCTTTTGTGAGATCTTATGCTAATAAGTGTCCTTCGACTTATCTCCAGAAAGTCTATTCCAGGCTTTCTCTGGAAGTGGTGTAAGTGAGGGTATGCACCTCAAAGAACCTGGTTTATAGAAGAACCAATGGTTAGTTCCCAAGATAGTTTGTAAACAACATCTATAATGGTTTCTATATTGCTTATCTTTAATGTTCAAGAAAGCAAAATACATGTAATTGAATGACTCAAGAGCTTGTTGAAAGCATAATTTGTTTTTATTTAGTTTACTAAATGGCTTTTTTCCAAGTAATAAAGCCAATTTAATATTGCACAAAATGTATCCCTCATTTTTTTTTTTTTAATTACAACAGTTAAGATCTACAACAGATGGGTATTACTGCTAATTATTGCTACCATACTTTCTAAGAAGCTTCCCCCGTGCATTTCAAAACACAAAATCTAACTGGTACAAAGTGCTTACATGCAAGAGTCTGCGGAATAAATGTGTTTACTGGGCAAGAGCTGCAAGTTAGACAATAATAAGTTATAATAATAATTTCTCAACATTTTTCAGTTTGTATGTTCAACAGATTTGTCATATATAAAAAAATCGAACAGCAGCACAGAGCAATGAAAATGCATTTTTGGCGTCTGTGTAGCTATTTTACTCATCAGTTTAATGGAGGCATTTGAGATCTGCTGAAAGGTTGCATGATTAGTTTTGTTCAGATACCTGAACATGCATGAGCTTCACTCTGGACATGAAAGCCCTGAGGAGTTAGGTGTGTTTTATATTTATTTTTTCTGCACTCTTAATGAGTTCCTCTACTAAGTTTTCTACAATGTTTTTTTTTAAAAGGGAACAATGTTCTATTGGGCATTGCTCTTTAGGTCTCCACCTCCCAAACACTAAAAACATTTTAATATAAGTTTAACTTATCTAAATTCCAGAGCTGGGTGAATCTCCTGGCACTGCTCAGCACGCCTCCTCCGGACATCACGCTTGAAGTAATGTGGCCCAATCAAAGGCTTCTCATAGGAAGGCTTCTGATTGGACAGTTTAGCTGGCTCAGAGTGCATGCACATGCTCTGAGCCGGCAAAGCTAGGGGGTGATCATTTTGGAGTTGTGAGGGAGGGAGAGAGAGAGGGGAGACATAAGCCTTTGCCTTCGATGCGGTGAATCAAAGAAAGTCTGTTGCCATCAAGTAGTGCACACTGATGACAGAAGTAAAATATGCACAGAATTGATATTAGGCAACATCGAACAGCGATCTAGGCTTACAAAGTGATATGTGCTGGGGGTGTACCTAGCTCCCAGCTCAAAAGTGCAAATAACTTTTGTTGTGCAACTCAGGATACCTATAGATAACTATGGATAACTCTGGATGTAAAACTATGTACATCCAGATTTCATTCATCCATGACCACAAAAAGCAGAAGTAGCCATGAGCATTGGAGTAATTCTTTGACCCAAGTAAGTGCTTGAACAGTGTGTGAATACATGAGAACTGTCACTATAAGAAAAAAGTATCCATGACATGAAACAGGATTTGTATCTTACATTTTATTTTCTGGATGACAACCCGCTTTCTGTCTAGTTGCTGTTGGACAAGAATAAGGTAAACAAGAGAAAAATAAAATAAAATGAAAGTGTTTAGGGGAAATGCAAATGGGAAAATTATATAGAAATGTGGCCTGAAATTGCAGGTACACATTTAATGACATGGTACACTTAACTCCGGCATTAAGATTTAATCTATACATTACACAAGTGAACATTCCAGTTCCATTGGATGTACAGTTTAAATCATATACATGCTGGAAGACTGATTTTTACACAGCACCACGCTAGGCATTATGGGAGAAAATGGATGCATGAAGGTGAATAGTGGCTAGTGGCTACAGGTGGAGTTTACACCTTAAAACAATCAGCATACAGATCTATTTAGGAATTAACCCCTCCATCAGCTATATCATCTACATAAGAAATGATCGTAGGCTGCATTACGTTTTATAAAAAGATCGTCCTTTTAAGGTCTTCATAAACAATTTGAGGGGGGATTAGGGTATCCCATAGAAGAACTGAACACAGGATATGTATCATTAAGCCTATCCTATTCAGTTGATGCATTGTTTGGGTCTTTGATTTTTTTGTTTTTTTCAGTATACAGATGTTTAGTATATTTCCAAAGGTAAGTTTTCAGTAATCAAAATTACTGAAGTTATGCAAATTGTAAATACTGCTTTTTCAAATCTATTGTTTATCTGTCAGGTGTGTCTGTCGGCCTAAAGATCTTTTGATCGTTTACTCAAAACTGTTCTGTGGATCTACCCTAATTTACATCATGTTAACACCCCTGGCCTACTAGGGCTATTCTAGATATAAAATACTATTTGCATTTTTTGCTAGAAATTTGGCTAGCGGTTGTATAGATAATGTTGTTATGAAATCCTATGTAATTTTTGCATTTCTAGTGTACTTAAAATTCACATTTTATTTTTTGTGCATTTTTTTAAAAATAGATTGGTTTATTTTATTTTCTGTTTTTCTCTATTACTGGGACACTATAGGCTGCAGAACCACTATAGCTTAAAGGGACACTATAGTCACCAGAACAACTACAGCTTAATGTAGTTGTTCTGGTGAGTATAACCTGTCTCTGCAGGCATTTTCATGTAAACACTGCCTTTTCTGAGATCATGAGAATTTAAGATCCAATCCAATGCTTTCTTATTGCTCATGTCAACCAAGGATGTGGAGCAGGGGTGGAGCCAGCGCTGGTGGACCCACATGGCGCTGGAATAAAGGTAAGTAAAATAAATTTTTAAGGGGGATAATGGGTGGCCATCCACCTAAATAGTTAGTCTGTGTTCTTGATGCTATAGCAGGCTGGACTGGCCATCAGGCAAACAGGACAAATGCACATCGAAGGATCAAAGGATCCTGCTGGCCATGCAGTGCAACAATGGCCACTCACGGGCCGGAGTGAAGGTAAGGTTACCCGGAGGATGGAAAATGCACCAGGAAGCCTTCTGGAAGCACGCAGGGCAACCTCCTTCATTCCCTCTGGTGAGCTCCGATATTATCAGAGCATTGTAACACTCTAAAACATCGACGTTTGCAAGAGAGACATGGTCTGTACCCTGCGGAGGTACAGACCACATAATCAGCCCACTGGACCACCAGGGATCATCATCAACGTGTTCCCTCTCCCCCTGATAGGTAATAAGAGGGAGGAACAAATGTCTGTGTGTATTTTAAAAAAGAGTAAATTAATTTTTTAAGTCCTTCTTATTTAAGTCCTTATATACACATAACACTCCTTGAACTTACACAAAATAGGGGTTGTGCTGCGATTTGCCCGTCAGTTGGCCCAAACATTTAGGGCCACCCGATGGGTATCGCTAAACCGGGGTCCGGTCAGGCGCCGCTGCCATCTAAGACTGCGACCAGACCCCTGTTGTATGGGATGCTGGGAGGAAGTGACAACACTTCCACCCAGACACAGGACGTCAGCTGGTGGGAGATCGGGAGTGCAGCGGAGAGTGAGCAGCTGCCAACCTTGCACACCATACCCTTACCAAAAAAGGTAAGTTAAACATGTGTGTGTGTGTGTACCTGTGTCAGTGTGTGTATCTGCCAATGTGTGAATCTGTGTGTTATTGTGCCAGTTTGTGTATCTGTGTGTCAAAGTGTGTGTATGTGTCACTGTGTGTATATATGTGTGTTAGTGTCTGTGTATGTCAATGTATGTGTCAGTGTGTGTGTGCATGTGCCAGTGTGTGTGTGTATGTTTGTGCCAGTGTGTGTGTATCTGTGTGTAAAAGTGTGTGTATCTGTGTGTCAGTGTGTATCTGTGTGCCACTATGTGCCAGTGTGTGTGTGTATCTGTTTGTCAGATAAATATACACACACAGATACACACTGACACACAGATACATACACTGGCACATACAAACACAGATACACACACCTTTACACACAAGCAGCACATACAAACACAGATACACACACTTTGACATACAGATACACACACCTTGACCCACAGATACATACACACTCAAAGATACACACACTTTAACACACAGTCAAGGTCAAGGTGTGTGTATCTGTGTGCCACTATGTGCCAGTGTCTGTGTGTATCTGTGTGTCAGATACATACACACATACACAATGACACAGATACACACACTGGCACATACAAACACAGATACACACACATTGACACAAAGACACACACCAGCTCATACAAACACAGATACACACACGTTGCCACCTGACACACTCACATTGTGTGGCAGGCACTGGGACCACAAAGAAAACATTTTAAGAGTGCTCTCTCTATGTTCTTGTATGTTGGAGGTTGGCCAAGAGACTGTCTGTCTCTAGGCTGACATGCCCAATTTCTGGGCCCTTCGATCCATTATGTGTTGTGTTACTGGAAAGCCACCCTGAAGGCTTGCCCACCCATCCTGATGCCATAACTTGCACTGTTGGTAGGTATGGATTTTAGACTTAGGGTGACTCTAAGTTTCCTGCCTGGTTACTATCTGGACTAAACAATGAGCTAAATATAATAGTAGAGCAGTAGAATCCGCTTAGCTCCGCTCCCGCCTGACACTTATCTCTGCACCGTTTGGCCTCACTGGTAGAACCAAGTGAAGTATAATGAAATCCTCCACCCAGGTTCCGCACAGCCATGCTACACAGCCTATCCTGCATTATAGGAGTGCTCAGAGACCCCTCACAGCTGTCACCCAGGGAGTGTGCAAGCTGTGTCGTTTGCATGGCGCCCCCTGTTGCCATGGTGCCCTCTGCGGCCGCACAGCACGAACACCCCTAAGGCCGGCCCTGTGTGCATACACTTGAAAAGGAAGTATTTTTCTGCAGTAGGTGGTTGTGGCTAAAAAGACAGGCTTAGGCTGCAGCATTCTGCAAAACAATATGTTTTTTTATAAATGAAAAACTCTAAAGATTCGAGCATGCAAAAAAATACAGCTTATTAATGCATTAAAGTTGTATTGGTGCCAAGAGTGTCTCTTTAAATGTTTAACTAAAAGGGCATACATTATGTTTAGTATTTTAAAAATGGTTAGATTTGGCCTTAAGGCTGGGTTTACAATTTTGACTACATCCGAACACCTGCTGCAGAATTATTATTCGTTAGCTGCCCTCCAGGCATGTTTAACTAGCCATGTGCAGATGTGGCTATTTGCATTTTCTTGTTACCATGGGAACTTCCAAGACAATATGGCAAATATATGAATTTTGTGCAAATCCTTACAAGGACATATTGTTTACAACTAATCTCTACTATTTATGGAATGGAATGCACGTTATACACTGATCAGCCACAACCTGACAGGTGAAGTAAATAACACTGAATATATTGTTACAATGGCACCTGTCAAGACAGGGCATATATTAGGCTGCAAGTGAAGTCAGTTCTTGAATTTCATGTGTTGGGAGCAGGAAAAATGGGCAAGGGAACAGATCTGAATGACTGGCCAAATAGTGATGGCTAGACGACTGGGTCAGTGGATCTCCAAAGTAGTACGTTTGGTGGGCTGTTCCTGGCATGCAGTACTTATTAGCTAACAAAAGTGGTGCAAGGAAGTATAACAGGTGAACCAGTGTAAGGGTCATGGATGCTCAAGGCTCATTAATGCATTTGAGGAGCGAAGGCCACCCCGTCTGGTCTGATTACACAGAAGAGCTACTGTAGCTCAAATTGCTGAACAAAAACTTAACGCTGGCCATGAAAGAACACACACAGTGTATTGCAGTTTGCTGTTTATGGGACTGCGGACTGGACAAAGTGCCCATGATGACACCAGTCCACCGCCAAAATTGCCTTCAATGACTATGTGAGTGTCAGAACTGGGCCATGGAGCCATGGAAGAAGGTTGCCTGGTCTTATGAATCATGATTTCTTTTAGATCAGGAGAATGATATGGTGCGAGTGTGACATTCACCTGGGGAATAGATGGGAAGAAGGCAAGCCAGCGGAGATAGTTTTATGCACTTAGTAAATGTTCTGTTGGGAAACCTTGGGTCCAGGCATTCACGTGGGTGTTACTTTGACACATCCCACTTACCTAAAGATTGTTGCAGACCACGTACACCCTTTTACTGCAATGGTGTTCCCTGTTTGAAGTGACCATTTTCAGCAAGATAATGCACCTTGCCACACTACAAAAAATGTTCAGGAATGGTTTGAGGAACATTGTCCAGATCTCAATCCAATTGAGCAGCTGTGGGATGTTCTGGAACAACAAATCCATAGAGGCCCAATCTCGCAACTTGTAGGACATAAAGGATCAGCTTCTAATGTCTTGGTGCTAGATACCACAGGACATGTTCAGAGGTCTTTGGACACCATGCCTCAAGAATCAGAGTTGTTTTGGCAGCATTAGGCGAACCTATATGATATTAGGCAGGTAGTTTTAATGTTGGAGTTTCGTTAGACTTAGAGATTCGTTTTGGACTGAACTGCAATTCGGGTGAATTTGGACTGATCAGGTGTTTTGCCGAATTCCTGAAATATGCCTGAATTATGGACTAACAGAGCCACACAATGCTGAAAATCTTCTGGAGGTGGTCAATAATCAAAATTTCACCTTTTGTGTCAAACAAAAGAAGTGATTAATGGGGAAAAAAAGATGATTGATGGCTAGGGGATAATCACTAAATTATTTTTATTCACAGATTATACGAGAAGTGATTAATAGAGTGAAAAACATGAGGCACAGTAAAAACATGATACAATAAAAAAAATACAAAAAAATATATTCATATATTTATTAAATATACATATATATATATATATATATATATATATATATGTATATGCATAAATAAATATAGACTTTTTTTTGTTTACCAATCCCCCTGTTTTACTTTCTATTAGTTACTGACGGAAAAATGATCAGTGTACTCCAAAACATATACATAGTATTATACTATATATGCATTAGCCTTTTCTTTCGGCTTTTTGATTTGCTCTACTGACTTGATTACAGAATCAAAATTCAGCTGAACCAAACCAACATCCGACATAATTTAGTGTGTCCCGAAAAACTTCTTCATTTGCAAAAATTATTCTGCAAAACCAAAATTTCTTGCCATGCTCAAGTCTGTTCTCCACCATGCATTCTTTTACTTCTGTTGTTTAGCTCATAATAGTGATTGCTTATAAAAATCACTTTTGGGGTTTTATATTTATTGCTTCTTTTTAATAAATGCATTGGTTAGGAAGGTAGTAGGTTTCTTTCTTTTTTATATTTATGTGTATTTTCTTGTGTTTAAACAGTATTATAAACAGTAGTCTATGTGTTCAGCCAATTGAGTAACCATTAGAAATGTTGACTTGAATTTTTTACAACAATCAGTTAACCATGGAAATATATTTAGAATTAGAATAGTGTTTAAAATGCGTCAGTTCCAAACCTTTCTAGTGATAAAACAAATTTTAGCACTTTATTGAAACCAATACCCACGTGCGCTTGCCTAGTTAATTGATTTGTTTTTTAATACAAATATTATGTAAATTGCTTATTATCCCTTAGAAAGAATTGAATATGTTTATGCTTCCATCCATACTAATTTGTGCAGAAGCCAAATATATTACCAGGGTCCCACAGGGGCTATATTCCTAATAGAATGCTCTGGCAAAGTAAAACATGTTTTGAATGCAATAATATATCTGGTTTTCTGAAACATTTTCATGGTTGGACATTACATTTTATGTTTAACCCTTTAGTTTGCTAAAATGCTTGTTAACCCATTTAATCGGTTATATTTCATCACATACTAGATTATAATGTGCAAAAGGTGTGAAAAAAATCAATGGGGTCTCTGGGGAGCCAACAGCAGAATATGAGCACCATAGATGCTCTTACTCCTATACAATAAATCAAGCAAGGGTCCTTAGGAGCTCCTCTTAAATGGACACTTCACTGCCCAATGAAAAAAAATAAAACATTACATCACTGTTTAGTACATATCCCTTGTCTGCAGCCTTTGCAAGTCATTCCCTTCTAACCCCACCCAGACTGTCCAATCATAGAATTCCCAATGCAGAGCATTGTTGTCGTGCGTAGATGAGCATTCAGGCAAAACAGTAAAATATTAGCAATGAGGTTCATGACAAGCTGTGTTGCAATAACAGGTCAAAACATGTTAGGAGTATCACACTCCTAACTGTGAGAATGTGAGAATGGTATCCGAGAGTAAAATTTAGTAAGGTATAAGCTACAACAGTAATTCATATAGACACAAAGAGAACCATTGCAGTTAACATGAGAAAGGTTTGCTTGAAGGTACTGCTGTGTATATAATGAGAAGATAGTTGATAACAAGGCCAATCAATTCTGCACACTATCAATAGTACAGCTTTAAAATAATAGAAAAATAAACAAAAGAGACTAAAAAGAAAGTGCAGTGGTGTTTCTTAACATCTTGTCACTACGGAATGGGCAAGTAACCTCAGCAAATCGGTGATATTGATAGGGTATGAAGGGGTAGGTCTAATGTTGACCATGGCTCACAATGCTAATATACATGATATACATAAAATCTTATCTAACGACCCCCACGGCCAAATAGAGTCCCATCGTGCCAGACCAGTCCACTCCGCTGGCCCCAAGCCTTAGGAAGAGCCAAAGTGTGATTCCAACTGTTACAGCATCTCATGACACTGCACGCAAGGTTCTAAGAGGAGCATGGTGGAGTTGGATGGTGAGTGAGTTCTCTCGGATGGTGTGGAATATGCATCGGGTAAGTCCCCTCACGAGAGTGCGGCACCGAAAATGGCTACTCTGGTTTCTTGGCAAGCGTCAGTAGGCCAGGACAGTATATTCTCCTGTCTCAAGCTTGAGAGTGTAGCCACCATCCGCCCAGCCAGGCACCGGCTTGATGCGTTGGGTAACTGGAGGTGAGTTGTACAACTGGCTGTCACTTTGTCATTTCTTCCCAGGCTAGATCATCCTGCTCTCCAATTTTCACCAGAAAGCAGATCCCATGTAGCCGCAACATAATGGATTTAATCGTATGTAGTGCTCCTGCCATCTTGAACAAGGTTGTAAGGCAGGCCTCATGCTGTAGTCAGGGTATCTGCAGGGGCACAGGCAGTCCTGCAGTAGAAAAACAGTTGCCAGAGAACTTATACCGGAATGAACCTCACCGACGGGGGAAGGGGACTCTACCGCCTCCACTCGTACCAACAGGCAAATCAGCGTGGAGATCGATCACCTGTTCCCAGCTGCATTCACGTGTAGGTGGCAGCTAAGAATCAGGGCTAGACCAACCATCGAATGGCTAAACAGCTTCAATTGTGCCTCAAGGTAAAGCAGAGTGATTCTACAGCAAGTGGTATCATGTTTTCATTGTGAAAGTCAATAAATCTGCACAATTTGGAAAGCTATGACCGGAGCTAACCCAAAGTGCGACTGCTCAACATGGTGGTCAGGCCTCGCCCTCCTAGGACCTTCTGTTGATTAATGTAAACATAAACAATATTCCTATGAGAGATAATGTAAGGGGGCTGATGGTATTGCATGTGCCAACTACTTCTATGTCCCAGCTTTGTATATAATCATACCTTCCAAAAATTTAAATGGAAAAAGGAGGACATTTTAATTTTAGGGGTGTTAGTGGGGGTGTGACCAGGGGCGAGACATTTTAGGTGACTTACTAATAAAAATTTATTCAACTAACGTGTAATTTATAACAAAAACAAAGCATCATAGTTACACAGACTATAGTAGAGTGTTAAAAGCATTAATTGTCATTTAAAGACACATTACTGGAGGCTTTATTGCTGCGGAGCTCCGTTAAAAACACCAATAATTTTGAGCTATTAGAAAAGAGGGATAAAATAGGGACACTTTGGAGATATTATAATCCCTCCAGTAAATAAAATATCAGTAGTACAATTTGTGTCCCTGACCCACAGTCGAATGCCAGATGTTTGCCCAGTCCCCATGGCGCCGAGTGCTCACTAAAATAAACAGATCATAGTGCGATATTGAATTTTATAGCATTTCTCTGATAATAAAGTATTCTAATCTATAGTAAAAAAAATCAACACTCTATGAAACATTGCAAAAGTACTATTTTTGAGACTCAAACTTATACAGAGAGTCATAGGTCATGGGAAAATAAATCTTTGTTTCTCTGCATTACATTTTTAAAATTAGAATTTAAATTTTTTTTTAAACTATAGCAATTCAATTAACAGTATGCATGATGAATGTCTTAGGGAGTTTTAAAAGCTTATTGTTTTGGGAAGAAGTTTGACAAACAATTTTCTATACTAGAGCCAAAAGATTAATATTTTTATCTTGCTGGGCAAGATGTTCTTCACAATCATTACTCAAACTGAAATGAATATTGTTTGTATTCGGGACCTCATGACCTGTTCTTGCTAATGCTTTCAATTGCATTTCTAATTGTTTTGTAAATATGATTAGACATTATCTAGAATATCCACAATGCACTACTGATAGTTTAATGGAGCAAATCATATATTCCCCTAGGCTTACTGATATTATCTTATCTTTTTTGTATTGAATCAGATGTAAATGCTATCAGAATTATTAATGTGAATATCTTTAGACTTTAGAAGTAAGCATTATATCAGAAAACAAATTTAAAGGGCACTTCAGGCAAACATTTCACTAGCTAGCAAGTAGAATTTTACTAACTGCAATTCAGTTGAATTTGGGACTATTGGTTGATCAGAAGAATTTATGATTTCCGAGCAGCCACGTGCCAGAATCTTGGGGTGATGTTCGTTTTTATTCGTGATTTGGAGTGTTGTTCCTGCCACCAAAAAAAGGGAAAGGGATGAAATGGAGTAAAAGTGTTTTTTTTTTTGCACCTTATTTTTCCATGATGGACAAGAGGTCTACCCAACCATGTGGGCTAGATCAATCAGGAGATAGCAAAAAACAGAGTATTGTTTGAGAAAGTGAGAAGAGAGTGAAGGTCATCTCACTAGTTCCAGTATGAAGCAAAATCCATTAATTTGAACTTGAAATGGCTCCTGGTCCCCCATTTTTTTTACGAATACAAGATAGCAAAAGGAAAATAACTACAATTGATCTAGTTGTTCTAGAAGTCCTCTCACTTCCTTTTTTCAATCCAGATATACAATGATCTAATTTTGACAATTCAGAATTGTCATGGCAAAAATGGAGAATATTACATAGCCATTAGACCATACAATATATTGTAACCTTTTTTTACATGTAAAGACAGTCATAGACCCCTTTTTCCTTAATTTTCATTACCAAAATTGAGCCAAAATGAACAGTGACTTGAATTAAATTATGTCAACTCAACTTTTTTTTTCTGCTAACGTGCTCAGAAAGACTAGAAATCGTTGCTTTGCACAAGTCTACCAGCAATAATAATGTAAATATTTGAGAATTGGATAACCTATGAAATGTATCAAAGAAGAACAAAGGTTTTATTTTATTTTTGCAATCCCCTATTGTCTTACATTGCTTCATTTTTATCATAGACTGCAGTGAGGCTAAAGCTGTAAGTAAAATACAATGGCAAATTTGTTTGGGTCCCAATGACTTCCAGTACAATAAAATACGCAAAGTGCTCTGTGAATATATAGGCGCTTAGGTACAGTTATAAAACTATAACAAGTTCACACGTTACTACACTCAGGTGGATACCCCCCTATTCCACCCCACACGTGAGAGCATACAATCAAAAACAGGAAGGTGTACAATACAACAACCAGAGAAGTGGAGCGTGTAAGGTGTACTATAGGATACAACTACCCTTTGTTGGGACGTAGGGATTAAGCTGTAAAATGGAGAAAAAAAAGGAACTAATAGTGTAATAATGTCAGGGGTATAAGTGGACTGTAGGTGTCCAATGGTCCAACTCATATGGGAATGAGCCTTCCAGGACCGGCTCAGATCGTATAGGCAGAAGTGTACTAGGTGACACAATCCCCTCTTCTGTCCGCTCAAATATGGTATATGAAACGAGAAAGAAGTGGGGAAACCAGTAGACTTCTGGTGTAGTATGTAAGATATAATAAAACAGATATACAATAAAAAGATCTTGCTCACCTATTCCAGAGCCATTAATGCCTGGCTCAAGGTGATAGCGCTCTATGCCTCTCAGGGGGCACACCCTTCTTTTCAAGCAAGCAGGCAGGAGTGATTTATAGCACTATATTATTCAATAAACATAACAATAAAAAACAAAGTAACAAAAATAAAAAGCTAGCTGCCAAGAATACAAACAAGTTGTCCTTGTTCCTCCTCCGATACACATTTCACCCTCTCATAGGGCTTTCTCAATTGGTGTACACCTATAGTACACCTTACACGCTCCACTTCTCTGGTTGGTGTATTGTACACCTTGCTGTTTTGATTGTTTACAATAAAAGATGACCTATAGAGCACTATTATTCCGCACCCCATTCATTCAATCAATATGAGCCACTTGCCTACTGGCTCCAACCTCAACCATACTGATGGGTCATTGAATGCATTACATTACTTTGGTTGTTTTTTTGTTTTTTTTATCAGTGAATGCATTGAGCATATAACTACAAATAAACAACAACATTGAGTGACCCTGTACTCCCCGAGCCCCTGTGCTAGATTCCTGTGAGCCACTTGACTGCTGGTTTATCCCGCAATTAACTCATGATTTTGCTGGGTCCTTCAAAAATAATTCACTGGTCCACAGTACTCCTTAGAAACGAAGAAACACCTGGTAGATGTCTCCTACTCTACCTTCATTCCATACACATAGCAGCAAGCCTCCAATTTATTATTTAATTGTGCTCATTAAAATATTTAGGTTTCATCACACTAACTCTGTAGTTAATGATTAATAAAAAAACATAAACACATGGTTTTATGGGTAGTCTTCTTTCTTTGACTTCATATACTGTAAGACTGACGTAACTATTCTGAAACTTGATATTTTCGAGAACATTTTGTGTTAAGAAAAACCGTAAAAGAAAGTGGATTGCATGAGGGTTTTCCGGCTGACAAGTCTTCCATTACTTCAAAAGGAACATTCTAAGATCATTCAATGCACAGATCGCCTGTTGATATGTGGATGAGTCATAACGAATGTGGCTATGGGTCACGTCTGATTGAAGCTGGTAAAAACCTATTGACATTTATAGCTCACTTCTAAGATGTAACATCCATGGCTGCTGGATTAAGTTTCTGCTTCACTGATGTACAGGTAAGTACTGTACTGTATAAATGCAGAATGTATTGTTCTACAGGCATTCTTATAATGTGGTTAAATGGAACTCCGCAGTGGACTGATTTCCATACCTCTCTACCTTCATGAACACATTCTCAGACATATGCAGATTGTCCTGCTATCTCTTAAATTAGAAATGGTTATTCTGAAATATTCAATTAATTCAATCATTTGGCTTTCAATCACCCCATACTTCATATCCTGCATCACTTGTAAACAAGATATAATTTGAAGGACACTTCGTATTTTAAAGAACATTTACTAACATACTTTAGTATTTTTGAGATAAGTGTTTTGTATTACCACCATGATATTTTGAGGTCTGAAAGTTCATACAGCCCATATAGTGCTATTTACAGTGCCTTGCAAAAGTATTCACCCCCCCTTGGCATTTTTCGTGTTTTGTTGCCTCACAACCTGGAATTAACATGGATTGTTTGAGGAGTTGCATAATTTAATTTACAGAACATGCCCACAACTTTGAAGATTTTTTTATTTTTATTATTGTGAAGCAAACAACAAATAGGACAAAATAACAGAAAAAGTCAATGTGCATAACTATT